TCTGATGCGCAATCGGCGTCGCTGCTCCGCTGCCCAGAATCACGTCATCAAAGTTCAGCGCGCTCACGGCCCTCTCCATTTGTGCGGCGCCAGCCGTGAGGTAATCCTCGAGGTCCGACGTAGACTGCGTGCGCGGGACAATGAAGCGTTTCTGCGGGTACGTGTGTGCGCGGACGTGAGCAGCGTGTGATGGGGAGTGGGGACGATTAATACAGGCGGGTAGCGGAGAGTCAGCGATAACCCCAACGCCTGTGCCAGTGAAGAAGCAGAATCTGGAGTTACGATGATCAATAAAAGAAGCAACGACAAGAGAAGAAAGAATACAAACCTGTTCAAAAACTCCTTATAACTCCCATTCCCGCCTTCATCTTCTTCGCCCTCCGTCTCCACATCATCTGTATCCGTGAACACTGCGCTCTCTGTTGGACTCGGGCTCGGGCTGGGACTGGTCTCCCTCGAGCTCAAACTAGGCGTGGAGAGCTCGCTGTCCTCCTCCAGGTTGTCTCCTTCCACTGTCCCTCCAACCCCTTGTCCGGCACCACCTGCACCACCAAAAAGCACAAGGCCTGCCGTCCGCGTGGGCGGGAACGCATAGAATCGTCCCGGAATCGGCGTATCCTCTGCATCCGCATCCCCCTCAGACGCATCCTCATCCGACAACGTAGGCGGCGTCCCAGGCGGCGTTCTCCTCACCCCACTCGAACCCAGCATGTTACTCAAGTGCCCTCTTTGATGATTGCGCGTCCCTGTCGAGGGTGGGTTGACAGGGAACGGCTGATCCTCGGTGTCCCTGGCGTAGTTAGGCACAGTGGTGAACGGTGGGCGGTCCTCGTCCGTCGCATCGCGCGGGCTGCCAAGCGGAGGCGTCCATCGTGCACGTTCCTTGATTTTCTGCTGCGCAGGCCACGGAATCGAGTTGGCGTTCGCCTTGGGCTGGGGGAGGGCGGAGGCGGGGTACGATTTCGGGCGGCCAGCAGTGGGATAGGACTGGGCTCGAGTGTGAGAGGTGTAGGAGCCGTGTGTGTGTGGTAGGGGGTTGTGCATGAGGGGAGGTGGAACCCAACGACTTGCTATCGATTGAGAAAAGTCGTATCGTGGAACGGGGCGCACAGGTGTGGGGGCGACGACCTTTTCGAGTGTGGAGCGGAGGGAGGCAATGGTGCTGGGGTCCGTAGTGGGCCAACGACTGCCCTCCTCGTATTCCAGTTCCTTTTCCGGCTTTTCCGTGGAACTGGAGCTAGAGGCAGAAGACTCCAACTTGGGCTTATGTTTTGCCTCAAACCCGAACTCGACGAGATAGTCGCGCCCACCATTGTTATCCCATACCTCGCGCCCACCTACGGAGTACCGCACCGCAAGGAGCATGCGCTTCCCATCGATCCGCGCCATGAGATCGTTCAAGCGCACGCTGAACACGAAGATGTCTGTGCGCGGAGACGGCGAGGAGACATATCGCCCCGAAACCTCCGATGTCGTTTGCCAAGCATCGAATGTGAAGCGGGCGACGACAGACTTGGAATACGCGAGGTTCGCTACACGGACACGACCAACGACGAAAGGCGAGTCCTCACTGAGCGTAAGGGACTCGAGGATGACATCGCTCTCGGCAGAGAGGCGTGGTGGCATGTTGAGGGTGTGCATGGTGAGCTTACGGGACGAGGGGCGTTCGGCTGAGCCGAATATCCAATCAGGAAAGTCAGAGTCGGTGCCCGAAGCGGTGTCCTCGGTAGGGCTACCATCGCGTGAGACGGCGAGGGGCTTCTGCTCGGCAAGGAAGAGCTTTACGTGCTCGAGCTGGGCATCAAAGTGGACGGCCTTGGGTGCGTGGGTGGGAGTTGCGGGGGCGCTCTTAGAGTTGGAATAAGGGGAGCGAGGGGTAAGGAGGGAAAGGGACTTGGAGGTTTTCAGGGAGGACTTGACCAGCTGGCCAGACTTTTTGCGGATGAGACGGGGCTGAGACTGGGAAATTGGGAGAAAGGAGGACGAGGTCTGGGGTGGGGAGTCGGCCGATGTGCTCAGAGGTGGGTGGGAATGTGATTCAGACAAGTTGCGAGCAGCCGAGAGGCGCAAGGAGACACCAGGCGCGTAAAGGAGTGGCGGGCGCTGTGGAGTAGTTTCGGGCTGATGTGCCCTTTTGAGCCGCAAGGATATTGTAGGTGGAGCAGTGTCTGACGAGTCCGAGTCCGAGTCATCAAAAGGCTGCGGGGGCGATGACTGCTGTATGACGACCTTGATAGATGAGGAGGAGTCGCGAGAAGGACGCCTTGGGATGAGGGGAAGAGGGGCACCAGCCTGGTTGCCTGCCAATAGGGGATTGGTAGGAGGTGACATGCGCTGTGTGGCGAGCATGTTCTGGGGTGTAAGATGAGCGATAAGTGGGAAATATGACGGAATATAAAAGAGTAACTCGCCTTGAGAGTCGCCAGGACTAGACACAGGGAAAGGCGTCCGCGGACAGAGAGGCGGACTTTGGGGGAGCGTCAGCAAAAAATACAAAGCGTGGATACAGTCCGGGCTTTATTACGCTCAGAGTCAGATCTCCGGCCAAAGTGGGTGGAATGTCGATAACATCCATCTCCATTTTATCACTGCATTTTAGAGTTGCCGCGGCAATCAACCCGTTGTCTCACTCGTCACCACCGCGGTGCAACATATATATTCAATGGGAGCCCTCCATTCCAGCACATCCAGAGCTTCCGTTTTTCAATCACGCTGACAGACCCCCTCGGGCATTTATAGCAAGACCACCAGTATTTGTAGACATCTTGATCCAGAGATTTCGAGCCACCATTTTGCCTCCTTTTGTGTCGATTTCACGATCGATCAACAACAAGTGTTACAACCATCTCACCTTGACGGCCAACGTTTCAACGCAAGAATCAACGTTTCAACAACAAATCGCTGACATCACCGTCTGGCCTTCTCTTCGCTTGTTTCTCCTTCCTTCCTTCCTTTCTCTATAGCCTATGTAGCTCTTGCTCACAAATTTCTAACTCGAATCGTCCGGTATGCGTCCCTAGTGCGTGTTCAACGATCCATCATTTCAAACGTTGCGGACGGAGCGTGAACTTGCGTGAACGTGCTGTGGCAACCGTGCCTGGATGGCGGCGTCACATGCATTTTCAGATTCTTGAATCTTCGTCATGTCCTCCGTGACGAGTCGGACCTTTACGCGGGCCTATTTCCATCTGTCACAATGCACGTCCGAACATTGACGCGTTGACGATGTATGCATCGTATCAAACGATCAGTGAAAGTGCACCGCATATTTTTTTCTTCTTCCTTGCATGGTTCGAGGGAAGTTATCCGATACGGTATCGGGATTCAGATAACGGTGTCTATACGGTCAAGGAGCTCACTGCGAGCGCCGTCTATGGCCGTCGAATAATGTCTGAGCCCGCGCCGCGCATCAACCGCCCCATTCAATCACGCTACGAACGTGATAGCGGTCCAGATATTCTCCCATTCTATCGCACTTAACACGTAACATGTGTCGGCCCCGAGTGGCGCTATACGCACTTAACAGGGAACAAACTCTCATGGGCTCTCTCCCATTCAGTGCGCGTTTCCGAATGCGGTAGGTCGGCCTTCGAGGTTAACCTGAAGTTCGGGGCTTTACGGGAATACTTCCTACGTATTGGGCTTATCTCCGAAGCCTGGATGGTAACGTGGGCTTCACCATTCATTGCTCAAAGTCAAACAAAAAAGCGCATATAGTTATGTGCATGCCAACGTCCCCGATTCCCCTAACCTTGGAGGGAGAACGAAGGATGCCGCATACGAGGCACTTGCAGTGACCTAGCATTAACCCCGCTCTTTCATCAGCTTTGATTCGAATGTTCGTACAAGCACTCGGCTATACTCGATATGACCGAAACTCCAACAACCATCGCCAAGCTCAAGCTCGAGCTCACGTCTTTTGAAATCTGTCCCCGACAACGTCTTATCATCGCCATTCAGAACCTGCATACGGCAACACACAAGCTATCGCGAGGTTGAATGCTAATACTTTCTATCACCACTCAATGGTCTCCACCACAAAATACCTCACCGGCAACCGGTGACCCACCCGCGGCGCCCCTCGTATCAAGGCCCTCCCTTTCCTCCTGCCTCCCAGCTGCCTCCTGACCCAATCCTAACCGCGATTTCCCCAGACTTGTCAGAATCGGGAAGGAACCAGGAATCATGAATCAGGGCCTCCCTGGTAAAGAAGGGGTCGCCCGTAATTTGTTAAGATTTGAAGTCAGATAAACTTTTAGACATCCTCAAGGATCAGCAGGGATGCATACTTACCAAATTGCATTGCGGATTGTAATGATCAGCTGTGTCTGATCCCCCCATCCCCCCTTGCTTCAGGCTAACATTGAGGAGGACACGTCGCTGCCCCCCTGCACTAGATCCCCAACTCCAACGTCCATGTTCTTAATCCCGACTTGTTCAACTCCACAGCTATCACCGACCTTATTCTTTCGGTCATCTTCATTAGAATCTTGATTCTTCGCAACACAAGGTCCCCTCCATGGTTCTCCCTGCCCACGTGTGTGGTGCCACATGAAAAAAAAAGGCAAGACTCCGTCTCTCTATATGTAGTGTCTAAGGAACTGTCTGATATCTTGCAATTGACAGGCTTACGACGCGCCCATGCGCGCGCGCTCTTTTTCGGAAGGAACTTCTTGCCAAGTCCATGTCCAGGGGAGTCTGCCCCTCGGATTTGGCTTGTCTTGCTTGGGTGTTTGATATTTACATTCCATGGGCATTCGCTGCGAGCTGCGGAGCGGTTGCACGTGGGAAGATCGTGGTCACTGGACTGCGCGCTCGAAGCTTGAGCCCATGCTTGTATTTCCGCCGTATCCTTTTGTTTCGCTTTTGACCGAGAATCAGTCGGGAAAGAAACGGAGAATTGTGGGTATCGGTGTTGGCCAGTTGCCACGAAATAAATGTGTTGTCCTGTCATTGGTACACGCACGTATATATGTTGTGAGTCCTGTTCCTGTATAATATCCCTCTTAGCTCAGTGGTAGAGCGCGTCACTAGTAATACACATTGTGAAATGACGAGGTCAGTCGTTCAAGTCGGCTAGAGGGAATGGAAATACCGGTCTTTTTTTCCCCCGGTTATCGTTCTTTTTGTTATTTAACTTCTCGAGGTGTTCTCTGATACAGTGTAACACGTCTTTCTTCAAATGGGTAACCACAATAACAAGGACATTTGGCGCCCGCTAAACAGGTACATTTCAGCCGAGAGATCCTGACGGCGATACACTGCATGTGAAATACACCCCCCAATATTTCTTCTCCTTTATTTAACTTACAGCACGGGAGACCAGAAAGGATGTTCTATTATTCAACTGCTCTCCGTTTCCCTCTCGCCTTTTCGGACAACTGGTCTGCATCATCTGCCGACTTCAACCGACGATCCACCGATGACGGAGGCTTTATCTTGAATCTCGCTGGTTTTGGTGTATTCTGTAGGTACCAAAGCATCAGTTACAACCACATGGAGTGTCACGACAATGGCCCACCTTCATGCCAAACTCTCGCCGCCGCTGAACAAACACCGGTTCGATCTCGTCGAGCATTTTCGAGCGGAAGGGTATGACGAAACAACGGGGTGGTTGTTTTATCCACTCGCGACTGGTTTCGAGGATCACAAATGTGGGATCTATGTATTTCGGATCACTCTTAGGACAGGTGTAGCGGAAAAGTTCCTGGAACGTCCGGACGACCAGGTCTGCAAAGAAAAATTCGCAACTTTTGTATTCGTAATGGGCAGACTTTAGACTGGCGACAATAGGGGCAAGGAGAATGAGATCGAGGAGGACGGGCTGTGGATCAGTAAAGCAAGTTTGCTCTACTAGTATATTGGTATCCTTAGGCCAGAAATCAAGCCTTTCCACGATAGCAGGGTATGTTACAGGACCCATTTCCAAGCGCATGTAGATATTGCGCTCAGGAGATTCTTGGGTCGAGACTGCAGCGACGAGATATCTGTAGACATCGTCTGATGATCTGAGTTTGTAGGTACGGAGCTCGACCACTCTCTCGTTCAAAATGCGCAACCTGGGCGATCCGTAATCACCGGCCTGGCTCTGGAGAAAGACCTCAAGCACCTCCTGTTGCCATACCTCACATGTGCGTTTCTGCGGTCGAAACTCCACGTATGCATGAGAAAGACCTGGTGGGCGTGTCGAAGGCAGAAATCTATCACTAAAGAGGGCGGAAATTCCACGAAGTGTACCGAGGATGAGCTCAGAGCGCTGCATACTGAGATCGGATCCACTGTGGTTTGGGATTTGGGTGTGGCTTCCAGGTTGATGGGGTGGCATGAGCACCCGAGAAAACACCCTGTCGCTAAATAGATATTAAGACAATGAGGAATCGTATGCCGACCTAACCTACAGCCAATGGGAGGTCTTGTTTGAGCGATGCTGTGCAACCTCAAGGCGGCCTTCAAACTTGAACAAGACTAATTCAATAGATCTCGTGGCCTTGTTAGTCAAAAGTTTCCCTTGTCGGTTCCAGGGTGAAAACTATAAGAAAATATAAGCCGTTCTGCCGGATTCAGAGTTATGTTGTTTACCCACACAATTGTGACACATCAGCCAAAGTTGTTCAAGTTAAACGGGGGCCCGCTTTTCACTTTATTGTCCATGTTGAAAAATTGTACGCCCTGTTACGCCAGACAGCCCATAAGTATATAGATACAAGGTGCCTAGACTTTTGTTGTGCTGTAGAATAACGTCTTTAGGGACCCCGTAGGGACTCAAAAGTTGAATGGCAAAGAGTCAGTCTCTCGAGACCTGCGTCGGATGATCGGATCGGATAAAATTAGTTGTAAATGATGCAGTGTCCTCCCCTATCCAACTGAGACTTGAGAGTCGTTCTCAAGTTGCCATAATCCTCAACTTCGCGGTACCATCGAAGTGGAGAACCGTATGACAGACACTGTCAGAATTTTCTAAGGAGTTTAAACTCTCAGTAGGGTCAACCGTGCGTGGAGGCACAAGTTGAATAACATTCGATCTACGTGCTCGATGACGAAAGACCCGAGCAAACTCGAGGCAAGTTCGAAGCCCTCGGAAGAACCTGGTTCACATGTCTTGTCAAGGCCTGCTAAGTCTGGCTTCACCGGATTCTCCATCAGGCAGATAGCTGTGAAGCCCAGCCAAGTTTGTACCCCCAGATTATGTACAGCCCTAGATGCCTTGCCTGCCAGGGGCAGCAGTTGCCGGAAATTCTGATGCTCTTGGCCGAGGTGGCTTTACCGAGCGTGTGAGAGGGTGGAGTGACCATGAGACGTCGGTCCTCTAATCCCTCATGCGTCGCTTAACGAGCGTTTATTCTCGTCTTCCACGTTCATGGGCGTCAATTTGTAAGTTCTGCCACTTGTCAAGATTTTATCAGGTCTGATGTGAAGGTGGGCCCTCAAGGCTGCGTTGCTCTTTCCAGCAGCTCCGGACACGGAGTTAAGTCGAACCAATTTCCTTCCTACATTTCCATGTTTGATTCTCAATAGGCTTGTGAGTTAAATCAATCCCCTGGTACGCACACACCATCTTTTAGCACGGGGAACAGTGGATGATTTTCTCCTCCGTTGGAAGGATGTACGGTCACCGAACCTAAACACTTCGAGGCCCTCACAACGTGATTATACTCATACTCAGACCAATTCTATACGTATCTACCCAAATTCATGTGTAGCCATCTGTGACAAGATGCCCCCACCCCGAATAAACCATGGCGATGTGGCGCAGAAATTCTCCCTATTTAACGACGAACCACTGAATACTACTATTTAACAAGGACTGTCCTTGACATGCCTCGTTATCAAATACTACACGGCCGTCCATTCTACGAGAATCGAGGAATGATTCTCATTCATGTGAAGTAAAGAACACGGAAACTAGTACACAATCCAAATCATTCTGATGTGGACATCACCATTCTCTGTCCTACAAGTCGGGCCTTCGCCTCTAGGCTTGACAACGGGGGAGGTGCATCTATTTGAAGGTGAGATTTACTGGCCACAAAGTGTCAGGCAGGTTTACTTACAGCACGCAGAAAAGGTGTCCACATCGTGGTGACATGACCGTCTTTGGGTAGTGGGACAGCAGTACGAGAGTGCTTCCGTTATAGCACTGCTCTTCCGACGATCCATATAGTTCGGCAAGGTACTTAGCAAAAAGGGGTAACATTCACAAAAGGGGCTAAAACTTGTTAGCATCACCCTCTTATGCTGCGTAGTCGAGAGTCTCCCCATCTGCCGGGTCGACAGGGAACGGCTCTTCAATCTCGCCACCCTGTACAGTCTCTCCGCAAGCACCTGTTTCCCACCATCCTGACGATTGTCTTTGTCATTGTCAAAATCTGAGTGGAGAGTCAAGTACTTGAGGTGCACGTCACGCAAAGGGCACTGTAGTGATGGAACAAGGAGAGTTTGTAGTGCTGTATAGGTGAAGGTTAGTGGCTACTATATGAGGAATGTACGATGGCACAGGGAACTTACGATGCAAAGGGAGTTCTTGTTCAGGAACCCACAGTTGCATGTGTCACAGCGGGGGTGCTTTGCGGACAGCTGAATATGCTCAAGGAGCTCTGCCTTTAAATCGTAGTCCTCATCGCAGATAGTGTTATGCAGGGCCTGGCTCGGCTCAGATACCCCGGCTCGGGCTGGGCTGAGATAGGTCAGGGGCCTGGTGTAAAGGCAAGCTGAGTCCCAGCCCTCGCTGAAGGCCGCCTATACTGCTAAGGTACTTATTTTTTTTGTTTTCTTTCGATGTAGTTTAGTTCAACTGGATCTTCAAGATCCTTTACATACTTATGCAAGTTTTTGTATTGAAGCTCCCCTCAGCTGTTGTCCCCACACTGCGAGCCAACACTGGGGTGAGCTATTATCTATTCCTTCTTACTTACTATGTACTAACACAAATACCTAGTCTCAATAACTAGGTAAATACATCAGCTGTTGTCCCCGCACTGCAAGTCAACACTAAGTCTCAATAACTAGGTGTTCTTGTTGTACGGTAGTGCTCAGTCGGTTTCTGTCAAACGACTGATATATTTAATACCTGTTGTACGGTAGTGCTAATAGGTAAATAAGTAATCTGCCGGAGACTTTTGTAGATAATATACCACATACCTCAGTCGGTTTCTGTCAAACGACTGAGGTATTGGTTTGACTATCCGAATCAGTAAGTATTTGGTGCTATACAGTACCATCATTTTCTGCCTGCGGGGTAACTGTGTATCCGGGTACGAGGATTGTGGCTTGGGTCACGTGCACCCCTATTGGGGCGCGTATGCCCTGGGATAAGTACGTCTGCTCGAGTCCCTACTTCAACACCTCCCCTGATTCGAGTAGCGCCTGTTCTACTCTTTGCATAGGCGTAGTGTGATGCATAGCGCATGGTGTGTGGGTCACGGAAGGGATTTAGTGAATATGTCGGTGTTGGTGTGAGGCTGCAAACAAGCCTTGTAGTCAGAGTCATGAACAAAGTTCACAATAACGACTTTTATTGATTACCTAATATATACTCCTCTTCTCTCGCCACCACCCATAACGGTGTTGGCTCTGGTCTACTGCGTGAACCTCAAGCTTAAGTCACAACAGGTTATGGGCCCCGCGCCCTAAGACCTTAGCCTGCTTCATAACAAATTAAAACTTGCGTAACTCTACACTGCTACTCAAAATCATCTGAGACACTCAGAAAATGTCACATACTGGCACGGCAGCCGCTACCATTCCGGATGTGGAAAATCAGCTCATTACAAAGGTTGACTTGCAGCCATGTGCACTGGCTATGAATATAGCTGAAAAGCTCAATGGTACCAATTGGGTAACCTGGCAAGCACAGCTTATTGATGTTCTTAAGATAGTGGAGCTCAACCTCTACGTTATAGGATGTCAGCCATGCCCTGGCAAAGACCGTCTTTCTGAAAGGAAAAATTGGTTTTTCAACAACGGTATTGCAAAGTCCTTCATTACAAACAATGTTCTTGAGAGCCAGAAAATCCATATCTTGAGTGAGGAAACTTTGGCAGCTAAGTTTACTGCTCTCGAAAATTTATACGAGGTCAAAGATTCTCA